TAAGGAGTCATTAGAATTTACTTGACTTTCGGGATTAGCATGGATTTAGATTTTGTTATCCCTAAAGCTGGAAATAAAAGAACAATTCATTTTCAAAGTACAGGAAGAAAAAAATATTCTCTAAACTCTGTCATAACAGTGAAATATAAAACATCTCGTGATTAAGAAATACATATTGACACTTTGTGTAGAACATGTATTGATTTTGACCAAATGGGGCAAGTTTCTTAGGAAGATAAAAATGCAGTGGTTTATTTGCAGGGGAGAAGGGGAAGATGAATGATTGACTGACAATAGGCAAATTTACCTTCTGTCTTTGTTTGTAAGTAGGACATGCTAACACTTTAAATTATTGAGCAGCTAGAGAATATTTTACTGGAATCCATTCTAAGCAGTGAAGGCTGGAATAGGCTCCATGAGATCCTTATCTGTCCCAAATCTCAAATTGTGATCAAGCCCACTCAGTAAAATGTTTGAATGTATTAGAGTTTTCCCAAGTACAAACCCTAGTAAGAAAGCCAATTATTTCTACTGTTTTGGGGAGTTTGTCTATCAGGACATTACAGAGCCTCAAGAAGGACCTATTGTACTATATGAAAGTGTAGGAGGGAATGAAGTTTGATGTGCTGGATATTTTATTTAAAGAGTTAATGAACTGACATATGTTTATACTTACTGATAATCTTCCTTTGGAAAATCCATCTAACTCCTCAACTGTACAAAATTGGCATCCTATATGACCTAAATTGGATTTGAAAATGATATTTGGATAAAAATCAAAAAAATACATCCTACTGGTTATATGTGATTGCTTTATTATGTTTGATAAGAATAAAAAGCCAAAGGATTTGACAGTCCCAGAGGCTGGCATGTAAAATGAAATTCCTGAATGTAAATTAGACAGATTAAACTATCCTTTAAGAGACTCGTGACGGAGAGAAGGATATATTTAAAATCCAATAAACTTCAGACCTCCTTAAAATGGCTTAAAATGAAGTCCCAAATGCTTGCTAAGAAGAAACTCCACTGGTTTTAATGTAATAAAAAAGTCGTGGATTCTGATTGAAAAAAATGCCATCACTGTATTCACCTTGCAGAAATAAAAATGAAACCATATGGAGAAGCATATTTCCACAAATGTATTCCAATTTAAGAGGAATTAACTGTATATTCTACTATGTAATCAAACAACAGCAAATATCTTGTATTTCTTTACAATTATTAAAGAAAATAATTTCAGCTTCTGTATGACTTCTCATAAGAAATGCACAAAACATAATCTGCTTTTGATAGTTCTAAATGGATATCTTAATTTTTTTTTTTGTAAGATATAGGTGTCATAAGTAAGGATGAGATATTTTTATGTTACTAAATTGCATATGTGATTGGCTGTGCTGGTAAAACAGCACAAAAGAGTCTTTGTTATACTCTCAGTAGAGCTATTTATACATTGTGACTTACTGTATCCAAAGACTGCTTCCTGCTTCCATTAAAAAGTAGTCCCTCCAAATAAAATAAAAGCCATAAACCCTGACATTACTCAAGCCTTGTCTATTGAAACAACAACAACAAAAAAATCACACATGATTTTGTGTTGCCTATATCGAGTTCTCTTGAGTTTACTTAAATACAGTTCCAGATGAAGGATACTGTGAAAGCATTGCCTTCCATAGCTAAAGAAGCAGAGAGACATTTTATTTGGTTTAAAAGTAATGATGGTCCAAGAAATCAGGTGCATCTACAGGATATAGTTGAAGCTGGAGAGTAGTGCAGGAGTTCTGGTCATTGAATAGACCATAAGCTCCATAGTCAGCAATTACTTTATTTGTGTAGTGCTTGAACATCTGGAAGGAGACTTGATACATGCTTTGGTCTTTGTGACCAAACAATATACATTCAAACAATATAAAAAATAACTATGTTTGTGTGTCTTCCCTCCTGGTTCCCTATGCCCATGGTCAACCACAGCTCTTTCCCCCATATCTGTATGTGGTCTCTAATGAGTTTCACTTTGATGTCATGGTAATTTTAAAAGTAATGTGCCAGTTTTCTTACAGCTTCTATGTAGATCTAGGGAAGAACCTGCAAAGCAAACCATCAAAAAAAAAACAAAAACAAAAACAAAAACAAAAAAACAGTAAAGAAAGAAACAGTCAGATAAGTTTTCTCTTCTTCCCATTCTGAGAACACACATGACTTTTTGTAGCCTTATAGTGTTGGGCAATAACTTTAGTCCAAAAAAGATATAAGAAAAATCTCATCCTTTCATAGAGACTAGTGCTCAATATAGGCATAAACAAGAATTCTTAAAATAATGAATATTAGAAAACTTTGAAAGTTTTCAGTATGGTGTAAAAAATTTTAATAATATCCCAAACAACTATTAAGATGACTTTTTTATTGAGAAGGAAGAAATTCCACTGTCCTACAGTTTCCAATCGTCTCCTCAATACCGAAATATTTAATATAAATAATGTTTATCATTGTAGGTTAAAAAATGAAGAATTTTCTGCTTCAGCTATCTTTCTGACTTTTTTTCTCCCCCAATATAGTCAATCTGGCCTTTGATTTTTCTTTCTTTAATCATTATATAGTGTGCCAGAGAGAGCTCATTCACCATTTCCTTGCCAGGAATAATCTAAGCAGGCGACAGGTGTGAATGGGAATGAAGTGAAAATTGGAACTATTTAACTGCATCTAAACCAGCCCTTATGTACATAATACATGTCTCTGTCCCCAGAGAACACTCAAATCTCTCATTTTAAATGTGTTAATAGCATTTATAGACTAATTTTCATTTAATTAGTGCTATTTTTCTGTAAAACTAAAACAAAACAGAGTTAAGCAGAATCTCTGAAGAGCCTTGATTCCTTTACACACACTTCTCAACTAAGGAAAATAGACTCCATTTACCCTAAACCTTCTACCATTTGCATTGAAGTACCACAATGATATTTAATGAAGAAAGGGAAAAAAATATTGTTGCATATATTTGCATTATGTGTTTTTAAATGTTAGCTTCTAATACTGTTCCCATGCTTTAATAGCAAAGCATAATTAAACTTTAGTTTTCATTGTAATATTGTATTCACAGATATTTTAATCAATTTCAGGAACAGCATAACATACACACAGAGACATATTTCAAGTGAACAATAGGGCTTTCACTGATTCTTGTGTTTCTTAACCAATTAAACTAGATAAAATGTAATTTTTCTGGTCAGACTGTTAGGAATAATTCAAGGAGTGCTCTGTATAAATCCATTATTTTTACCCTCATACTTCATAATTATTAGCTAAGTTTTATGCATAGTTTTACACATAAATCCTGAAGCTCTTGGTTATTTTTTCCTTGTGTCAGAATGAGCTCCCAATAATGTGAATGGAAGTTCAACTTGAGTAAAGATAGAGTAATAAAAACTGGATCCGGATCTCAGGATTTGGCACATGGACACTGGATCTATTAAGTCATCTTGTCCATACTCCTGCCAATGCAGAATTGTTCCCTTCAACATAATCTCCAGTGCCCTATTCAGTCCAATTTTAAATGACTTGGGTGAAGTGGTTTCCATTACTTCACTTGGTTGAAGTATTACTTATTCCAGACTAATATAATGCTTTTCAAGCTACTTCATTCTTATGGATCCCTTCCCAATCCCAACATTTCCCCCAGACGAACGTGTATGAGTAAGGGTGAGGAAAATGTGTGTAGAGTATAAAGGCCAAAAGGAAAAAGTGGCATGAAATCCTTCCCTTCACTCCATTTTTTAATGTCTTCTTGCTTTATATTTCTGAAGTCTGCCTCTTTGCTTTTGCCACTGAGACCAAACTCCCTGAGAAACAGATCCACAGTAAATTTTTCCCCATTTTTCTTCACGTGAATATTTCCAAAACTGTCCCACTTCCCCCCCACCCTTGTTTGTTATATGCTGTTATTTTTACTTTCCTCTGCATTTTATTTATTTTTAGTAAGGCATTGACTTTTACCAGTTATTGCTGACTCTTCATGATTCATTATCTGTCACTTAACTCTTAAGGTATTATTGTGATTAGAGGGGACTTTCCATAGGGGATCCCTGGAGTATATTTTTTGCAGGTGAATATGGGTGTGTGCAATGAATATGACATTTACAAATTATCAGAAACACTCAAAGCAATGGTAATAGTAGACAAGATTGATGAAGAAAACATTGAGAAAGGGAACAAAGGTTTGTGGGCCCTGTTTTGTAGTATATTACATGTAAACAGGTAGTTAACGCTTTGAATCACAGTGCATGCAAAATGAGGTTGAAATACTTGGTACTGTAACTGAAATTCTTGCTAAGATCTTTGTTTCAGTTTTCAGCTATATATACAGTAGATGCTGCAAGAACAAAGACTGAAATTGGCACTTTATTGAAATGTAGAAATTCAACAGCAGGAAATAATCTTCTTTGAAAGTAACTCCTATTTCCGTCCTCTTTTTTTTTATATATATCCTTTAGTAGCTGATCACTTAAAACAGGTGCTGTAAATCATGATTGGACATTAAACGTTTACGATGGATGGTGTCTGTGTTTAGAGACAACTTTATGTACCACTGCTTGTAAGGCACTTCCTCTCAGGAATCAAGTGGAAATAAGATCATGTAACACTGTGGCAGATTATACATTCACATATTACAGCTGCTTGAATTATTCATTAGAATTCACTTAGTTTATTTTAATATATGTAATTATTCAGAAAGAAAACTTGATTCTTACAAATATGTTATTTGAATAGATGTGTTCAATAAAGCAATAAAAAAGGATGCCATATGGGTACAAACATGGCCAGGTTTCTGGGCTATGACAGCTGTAGTGGTAACATCTGGAAGAAGTTGCCAATCATTCAAAAGAGCAAGAATGCTAGGGGAAATCTGGCCATTCCAGTGAGAAAGTCAGATCAGGTCCTGAGGCCGTGGTAAGAAATGGTGCCTGAGCTCTGCAAAGCCTTATTGCAGCTTTGTTTGACTAATTTAGGTTCTCAGACGGAAATGAACTGCTACCAACTGCCGTCCATGTGAGTCAGCTTCATCCAGGATGATTACCATCAGAGGTATATACTCACCTTCACTGGTTTACACACCATTCTCTTTACTGAAATATTCATATTTGCCTCCAAATCATCAGCACCTGTAATTTCAGTTGTATGTAGATGAGGATTCATGCTCAGCACAGACCACACTGTACTGAGAGCAATCTAATTACATGGGTAGAGGTGTTTTAAACAACCATCCATAAGCTCTGGGAGGATGGTGGAGACTATTGTCTCATAGTGTGGTTTAATCCATGGAGCTATGCACCCCTTCTCTTTTCTCTACTCAGATGAAGGTTTTATCTGCTCTGATACTTGTGCAGCTGTAAGGGGTTTTGAGGTGTTTGTCATGTAGAGAAAAAACAAGCTCTTTTCTGAGGAAAAGACACTCATGAACTTTGAAAAGCATCCTGCAGCATGTAAATTTTCTTCCATTGCCTTGTAAAATGTTTGTGTACCTGGAATACACCCTTCAGAAACAAAACTGTGATGAAATGCTTTGATAACTAGGCACATTTTGTCTGCTGGGCAGAGGCTCTTTTCTCATGCCACTCTTATTAACTATCACCTTCCATCTGGCAGAGATTGTTCAGGAGCCAGCCGCAAGGGACCTGCAGCAGAGGTAACTCCACTTGGCACACTGGGAATAGTTGGATGTATTTGAATTTTCCCCTCCAGAATACATAGGTGAGTACCCCTCTCACCTGTCTTAAATCTGCATAGATACAAACAATATGAATATAAAATACCTAGGATGTAGGAAAAAGAAAACATGTATTCTTAATCCTTGTCTCACATGTATGAATATTCATGATGAATCATTATCATTAGCCCTAGATGTACTTATCCCAAGCATGAAAAACCTTAATGGCAAATATCTAAGGTATATTTAATAGATTTCTTCCTTGTAAATTGGATATTTAAGAGAGTGATTTACATTTAATCTCAATCCTTTCAGATTGGTAATTTAATTCTTCTTCTCCTTAGCACAGGAGACAGAACATCCATAAAAGCAACATTTTTCCAACATATAGTATAAATGCTCTGCTATTCTAAGGCCAAAAAGCAATAAAAAAATGGGATATCACCCAAGAAAATATTTGAGAGGCAAATAGAACCTGGAAAAGAAAGAACACAGGAAAACAAGACACAATACAGAAGGTATGTCATATAGGAAACATTACATCCTCCTTCTGGAAACAGCTATCGTCAAACCTGCTTTTATCAAAACAAAAGCTTCTTTGACCATAATTGGTCATAAAGGCATTGGATCCTTGTTGAGCTAGTCCTGTGTTACAATGACATCTGGATTTTTTGTAATTTTTTCATCAAAACAGGTCTTACCAGTGGTAAGTTTGTTCAGAGTACTTTTATATTGCCTCCGAGCTGTTATTCACCAGGAGTAGTACATGGGAAGAAGGGTGGTGGACGAGGCTGTAGCCAGACTTGTCCCCATAGTGGTGCACTGTCATCAGTATGTGGATTAATTAAGAATGTTCTCAGAGAAAATTCCTACTGAAATCTGTTATAAAGTACCAAGTAATTTAAATGTTGAGAATATGAGCCCTGAGAACAGGCTCTTTAAGCACATTCTTAGTCACTACCAAACTACCCAGGGTATTGCCATGTGGTGAGCTCATTAAGATGTTAGTTTCCCACTTACCTGCTCCGGAGTAAGAGTGAATTGAGCCAAGGTTTCAGGCATTATTACTAGGCTGTAGCTAATTGCCATTATACTCAGCTTCAAGAGTACAATCTGTAGGGCAGAGCCTTAACTCCCCAAGATTTAGCTTGTTGACAGCTATTGACTGACAACTTACAGCACAAGCAGAGAAAGTGACAGGTTCTCCTTGACAACTAAACGAAAAAACCCAATATGTTTTTCATTGGATTAGGTGTATGGAGATTACTGCTTCATTTTGCAGTAATAAACATAAGACAGAACTCCTTTGAAGAGCATACTTTAGAAGTCTTTAGAAAAAAAAAACAAACAACGAAACACCAACAAAACAAAAAGCTAACAATAACTCCCCCAAATGTTTTCATGCTAGAATTCGAAGTGCAGCAAGATCACTATGGAGAGTTCTGGCTGGAAGCCCACTACAAAGCTCACTATTGAGTCATGTACTGCAAAGGAGTTAAAGAATATCTTTGCTCTGTAGATGGTGGAGTGCCTTCATAAAGTCCTGGAGTACTTTTCAACAGTCTTTGTCATAATGAAAAAGCAAAGTCTGGAGTACAGAAAAGATGGTAGAAAGTGGTAGCAGAAGAAAGAGCATTTTTAGACTGTGCACAAGCATCTTGGACCTGAAAGGCCTTACAGCTCTCCTTCTCCTTCTCCTTATTAAAAAAAAATTATTATTTACACTTTGGATTAAAGAGACACAAATTATCCTCACCAAAATGCATTCTTCTGAATCTGTAGATGTGGACTTTCAGAAGGTTTTTAAAACATGTTACTCAATATGATAAAGAATTTGAGTGACTGTCAGAAGTTGTGCAGGTGATCTAATGCATTTGTTTCAATCGCCTGAAATAAACAATCTACTTTAGTGAAGCATTTGTTTTCACCAAAGCCCACCTATGTTGCTGATAGCCGTTGCACCTTTGGCTTGCAATGGAGGATGCTTTGTGATTGGCAGGAGGCGTACAGAACAAACAGGAACCTTTGCTTCCTTTCATTTAAGGAAAAGAAAACAAGGGAAAGGAGCAATGCTGAGCAGCTACCTGAAAGCTGCTTTGTCCCAGCTTCATTATGTCATTATCCCTGAACTGGTTTTTGATAAAGTATATAATATATTGGAAGAAATCCCCAAACTATATCTATAGTAAGCAGTTTTATTTAGAATTTACACTCTCTGATGAGTAGAGATAGCAGTGTAAATCCTGCTAAGCAGATGCTGTGCTTTTTGAAACAGGACTTGAAGTCTCATATAGTACCTAATAATAGAATTAACAGCAAATATGATAAGGCAAACGCATGGTTGTCAAACTCCACTTACCACCTTTTCCATCATATGTGGACTAAAGAAATCATGACAGTACAACATACTGGCAGCATAAGAATCTGTCTCATTTAACATTGTGCTACTGATGTCAGTTGGGAGAGCACTTACTCAGTTTGGTGATCTCCCCTGAATATCCAGGATCATTTAAAGTTGGTGGAAATGTGAATGCTTTGCAGCATCTGCTTTTTACATTGTAATGTTCTGCAACCTTAAAAACAGATGTCTGAAATAGTTTATTGTGCTTTTCCTCAAATATTATACAGCACCGGTATGTGCAGAGCACAAAGGATTATCTCAACAGTATTGTGTAGGTCTTTGTCTTTAGTTTATGATCTCTGTGATCTATTGTATGTAAACTTTTTTTATGAGACTGGGAAGGGGTGGTAGCCTAAGTAAAATTAAACACTGTACTGTGATCCAAAAAAAAAAAAAAAGGTCTCTCCTGCTCTGTAAATGGCCACACTGAAAACCCAAAATAGAAAGCATTTGGAAAATGAAATATTTTCTTCAAGTAATTTTGTCCCAGAGAAATATTTAATGCTAGACAAGATGTTGGGTTTTGTGTTGGCAATAATAGGACTAATTTTCCCAAGGGATGGGGGAAGTGTTCTCACCACTCTCTCATATTTTGAAATTCCAATGGGGAAAGCTTAGCTATTTTAATCATGTTGTCTTCTAGTTCCTGCATCACTTTCTTCTGTGAAACAAATAGAGTCAAGTATCAGCACGGCTACAATCCAAAGAGCACAAGATGCTTCCAGGAGAAATGAGTGATAGATATATAATGCTTTGTTCAAGCATCTGTACCATTGTTGATTTTAATACATTCTTGTCTTTATGCCTAAAGAAGGATGCCAGCATGAAGTCCTTATGCTGAAAAAAGAATCATTCCTCTACTCCTCTAGAGGAAAAGGCATATAATCTGTCTAATTTACAGCTTGGTTTAATGGTCAGATCACTACTGGAGATGTTCATAGTATTGTAATAACATGGAACCAATCACTAGATTGGCCAAAATATGAATGCTTACATTTAAACTCACTGAATGGCAGGATGTGATTGGAATTGGGTGCTAAGGAATATATTCTCAAAGATACAAAAGAGTATATCTGAAAATTCCAGTAAAGGAGACACGCTGGATTGTTAGAAAAGCATTGGAAAGCAGAAGTCCATGGATTCATTCCCTTGGTTTGCCCTTTCCCAGCATTTTGTCTTTATTGGTAGCTGGGGAGTAATGCAGCTGTTTGGCCTTCTGCTCTCATCTGATGAACCTCATGTTGATACATCTTTAAATTAAGAGACAGAAGTGACATTGAACTGTAAAAAAAATATGTTTCCTCTCACAATAAGGATTTTTAAGAAGATGGCCTTGGTGCTGTGCCTTATGAGGAACTCAGTCTTGTGCTACATTATGTGATTTAGAAAGCAATGCTGAGTTGAAGTGGCTTAGTGACCTGCAAGTACAAAGAGATTCTGCATGCTTGGTCATGTTAAGATTGTGATGTTTTACATCAACAAAACTTCAGAAGTCCTCCCATGTCAAAGTTACTAGTACCTTAGCTCTTCTGAAATCCTACTCCATTATCACATGCCACATTCAACAAAATATAGGGAATTTCTTACATGGAACTGAGCCATGTGAAACTTACAGATTGTCTCTTCCTTAGTGCCATCTAACCCTCAAATTGCCTAAGTACAGGTGCCTTCTCACTGTAGACTTTAATTTTTCCCTGGTCAATAATTTTGTTGTCTATATTGCTGCATCTGCCTATCCCTCAGGATGTGGTTACTCATCTTCTTCCAAAAATTCATCAGAACTATCAAACAATACATTCCTCTTTGATCTTGATAGAGTTTAAGAAGCATTTGGAAAATTCTCTCATGCACAGAGTGTGACTCTTGGGGGAGTGTGCATGAATAAGTGTTTAACTCAATGAAACTTCTGCGTCCCTTCCAACTCAACATATTCTGTGATCTATTCCAAAAGGCTCAGTGTGGCAGGCAAGCAAGTAGGAACCTCTATCTTAGAGAGAATCACCATGGGGCAGCATCCATATACTATATGCACCTCACTTGAAGGGATTTATTACTACTCACCACATTAGGGAGTCATCTGGATGGAAATACTCACCTTTGTCTTGTCTTTGTTTTTTTTTTCTTTTGAGCACAGTGAAAGCAGTTGCAAGCAATGTTGTAAGCCTCACTAGCATGAGGCTATCCTTTGTCACAGTTTTCCTCATTATAACTTCTTTTTCTACCTGCAAATACTGTGCAGAGCAATCCAGAAATCCCAGATATGCATTTTGCTTGGGCATATCAAATCTACCTCACATGTACATGTGTGCAGGGCAAATACAGTAATTTCAAAGTTTCTTGGAGGCATCTGTCCTGCTGTGCATGTGACGTGCACATTTCTTGCATGGAAAAGACAAGGCAGCAGCCTTAGAAACATGTGAAGAATGTGTGGGCATATACAAATATGGTTGTCTAGATTAAGCAACGTTATGTTCCAGGCTTGAGAGCTCACATGCCCGGAGATGTGACTGCCACCGAATCTCCAGAGAGAGATAAAGGGTTCCTGTCAGCTTGTTGCTTCTTGGCCAGTACTGGATGAGCTCTACACACTGGGTCTTATCTGCTCCTTTCTAAAGAGTCTTGCTCTGCACTGTTCTAGCCCTAGATGGCCACCTGCATTTTCAGATATTTTTGATAAATAAACTCTGAAAAGCTAGTCTCAATACCTTGACAAACTCTTATGAAACCCCAGACTAGGTAAAGGCCTAAGGCAGAGTGATTTGATTTGCAGTTCTTCCAATAATGAGAGCTGCAGTTCATCTTAGAAGACCACACAAATATTATTTAAGTGTGTTAATGGGGAATTAGTTCAAATTTTAGTCATCAGGAGTTTAATGTTGTGGTCATGGTTTGTGTGCATATTGCAGAACTCGTGGGTAAAACATTGAATAGAAACTTTTTTTATCCCCTAGTTGTCTTGGAAATCATGTTTCATTAGAGCAGTGCAAAATGTTCACAATGAAACACCAGACCACACAAAAGTCACCTGGTGTGGAGTTTCGTTACAAACTAGTAACGCAAACCATATTTATCAAAAGATTTGCTTAGCATTG